CATTTCTGTAGCGCTTAACACAATAATCAACAGACTGCAAATTAAAAAGAACGCAAAAGTAATTAATTTGAGAATTAGGTTATTTGTAATAAAATGAAATGACACAGGGAAAAAAGTACTGAACACATGAAGAAAGGAAGGTGTAGACTGGCATGGAAAGCCCAGAAAGAAACTGAAATCTTTCAGTAGTTATTCAGCAACCTTCTGCCCTTCATCATTGTAAATTAATATTAGCTCCTTCAGTCCAACATTTACATTAGCTGGAGGATGAAGATGAAACCATTTCAGCATGACAATGATCCAAACACAGCCAAAAATCAAGCTGTAGGATGGCCCGGCCAATCACCTGAGCTGATTCCAATAGAAAAATAAATAATAAAGATCAGATTTGATAGATGAGACCCACAGGACCATCAAGATTTTTACACATTTTTTCAGTACTTTCTCCTTGCGTCATTCCATTGTTAATACACATAACTCATTTTTCAGATTTTTTTTTTTTGTTTTATTGTTTGGGTTTTTATCAAAATCTGGTTCAATCCCATGTCAAAAGCTCCTTTAGAAACATTATTTCCAGGAAAAAACATGACATGTTCAAATGAGAGTGTACACTGGAGTATACCCTTATTATACTGCAAATATACTTGTACACTGGTAAATTACCTCAAACTTGCCATTATAATTATAGGTTATTTTACACTATTTTAGATCAGTAATGTTTGATACTATGTATGTCTGTTATAATATAACATTTTAAATATATTACTGAAACTGTTATTAATTTTAATATTGATTTTAAACTAACCTAAAATATGCCTTGAACTTTAAATTGATCTTAAGTAAATGTATGCTACAAAACAAATATTTCTTCTAAGGAAAACTGATTAAAGAGTACCAAATTGGGGTTCTTCGGGTGGTACCAATAGCAGAAGCCTTTTGTGATAAATAGAACCCTTTCGATAAGGTTTCATAAAGAACATGAGATAATGATGTTATAAATCCACAAATGAGTGTTTCTTTTTAATTTGTAGGTTTTGGTAAATTTCAGTATGTATATGGCTACTAATTAAAAATATGGGTAAAATTACTAATTACTACTAAACCAAATTAAGATTACCCTACAAAGATTGATAGCACCTTTACCGATATAATATGATATATTTTATATTTCTGAAGCTGTTTATGCATAAACCCAAGTAATAGTTAAGACAAACCTTTGTATGGATCCTTAATTTAATATCTATTACTTTTAGTGGAGCAGAAAACATTATCTTCAACTAAACATAGTTGATCACATGTTCTGTTCAACTAAAAAACGAAAAACTGGAGAACAAAAAACGGTAACACTTTATAATATCTACACTATGAATCATCTATTAAACATTAGCAAATTCATTAGTTGTTAAGCATTAAGTCTACATTAAGAGACGTTAGTGAGCAGTTTATAAAAACAGCAACAAATGCTGAGTTCTTGACTTTTATAATAAGCTTAATGATTGTATTTTCATACTTTGTCACTCATTAATAGTTCATTATTAAATTTAAGTATTGAATTATTTACAAACCATTTGTACTTAAGATTAGTTGGTGGCTTTTAGAATCATTTAGAAATAGTTAGTAAATGATTAATTATGTATTGAAATCAACATTTATATATTTTATTATTTAGGCATATGGTTACGATGTATGTTAATAAATGCTTTATTAACTCAACTTCATCCAGTTTTGTGGCCTAATCTTAAGTGAGGACTATGTATGCTTTATAAATCCCTTATAAATGACAAATGAAGGCTCGATATCAAATGAACAATCTTTGCAATCTTATCTAAAGAATAAAATTACTGTAACGTTAAAACATTGCCGAATAACAGGAGTGTCAAAATACAATTACAAACAAATACAATTCAATAATATTGGGTAAAACAACAACAATATACTAATTTAATGATACATTTTGAAACAACATTTCAAAGTTATTTAGCAGTTATCTAGCCTCGGCTGGGTCAATTGGTGGAGTTTGCATGTTCTTCCTGTGTTCGCGTGGGTTTCCTCCAGGTGCTCCTGTTTCTCCCACAGTCCAAAGACATATGGTATACAGGTGAATTGGGTAGGCTAACTTGTCCATAGTGTGTGTGTGTGTGTGTGTGTGTGTGTGTGTGTGTGTGTGTGTGTGTGTGTGTGTGTGTGTGTGTGTGTGTGTGTGTGTGTGTGAATGAGTGTGTGTGGATGTTTCCCAGAGATGGGTTGCGGCTGGAAGGGCATCCGCTGCGTAACAACGTGCGAGATAAGTTGGCGGTTCATTCCACTGTGGCGACCCTGGATTAATTAAGGGACTAAGCCGAAAAGAAAACGAAAAAATGAATGAATAAACTGTAATTTTATAAGATTGAAATGATGTATTGTTCATTTGATACAGTTTCATTTATCTTCAAATGAGTAGAAATTAATAACGCCATTTATTTCCTATTTGTTTAGAATGTAACTGAGCCTTTAATTGTCATTTATAAGGGATTTATAAAGCATAACTAGTCCTCACTTTAGATTAGGTCACAAAATAATAATAAAGATATGAATGGCAATTAGAATTGCTTATTAAATATTTACTAACTCATTCTGAATAATCTTAAGACAGCACCAACTATTCTTAAATATCTAATTTGTTAATAATTCAATACTTTGTTAATGATTATTTTTTCATTACTTAATTATGAAAATACTATCATTAAGCTTATTAAGCACATGTGCACATTAAGCACATGTGCTTATCAGTCAGGAATACAGCATTTGTAGCTAATGCTGTCTAATAATGTAGAGTTAATGCTTAACATATAATGAATTCACTATTTGATAATGCTTAAATGATTCTCAGGGTCTAGTTATTACAAATTGTTACCCAAAAAACTATTTAAAACACCTTTGGTAGGAAACAAACTTTGAAAGTTAAAATATGTAGACTTTTATAAAACAAATAATTAAACGAGATTGTTGACAGTGTCGAAGGCTGAGCTTCTGAAAAACCAGTAATAAGGTGGTATGTCAGGTTTTTTAATCTAAAAAGGAGACAAGCAAAACTAATCAAAAAAGTTCTTCAAAACAATATTGCTCTTAAATAGAACGTAATACTCCCAGAAAACCCTTTAAGTGCCTTGTCTTTTAGCAGAGGTGTGTATAAGCGCACTGCACGTAGCCTACTCGTTTTGTTGTTTTATTTTAACAAGGAGCAGCATGTCATAGACAAAGTTTTGCAAATTGTTAAAAATAGTGAACTACCCTTCATGATTTAGGTTATCCACATGAATTACTAAAGCAATAAAAATACTCTTCCACTACGTACACTTTAAAAAAAAATGTTTCAGTGTTGTACCAAAAAAAGGTACAAATCACTGTGGCAGTACTTTTTTTATGGAAGAGAATTGTACCTTAAGACAAAGAAACACATTTTTACTATTACAATTTGTACGAATGAACTTGATTTGCACCATGGAAAACCAAAATGTACCTTTGGTTGTTAAAACCTGCAGATACAATATCTTCATTAAAGGGACAAATCTGATCCATAAAGGTACCACTACAGTGACAAGACACTTTGTACCTTAACAGTGTCAAATGTGTTCCATGTTGCTTCCAAAATGCGTCAATTAATTTTCTGTAAATATAAAACAAAATTTTAAACGTTTTTAAATAATGGTGTAAATGCACCTTTTCCATTTACAACAAAGAATAAAAATACTTTAACACAAACCAAATTATTTATTTTTTGCTAAATATTTCATAAGACTTTTCACAAACATATTACAGAAACACATTCTCCCATGTACAATATAACACATTTTTTCATATTTTCACACAATACCTCGGTAATCATCTAAAAAAAGTTTATTTAATTTACTTCATTTTAAAATAAAATATAATTATGCAAAAGTTCCGTAATGTATGCACGATATGCATAATGTTTGATTAGCTTTACAATACTAAAATGTCTGCATGAACACTTTGCATATGCAGGACTTTTGCCAACTATTTATCAGAAAATGCTTACAAAATGTTTTTTAAACATGCCTTAAATGTTAAGTTTACAATAGCTATATTTTTGTTTTACCAGTTGTTTCATTTTATGGAACTTAATAATTAATGTTTATGAAATTATTCATGAAATCGCTTTGCCTTTCCAGTAATATTTATTTTCATATATTGTAAAAAAGGAGTTGTAGACCACTTTTGTACCTTTTTATGAGAACAATTGTGTACTTTAATTGTAGTTGTACCATAAAAGTTACAGAACAGTATCATAAGAGGTATTTTCTGTACCATATAAGGTACGACTTTTACAAAGGTACAAAACTGTTCCTTAAGGAACATTATTTGTACGTGTGCCTTTTTCGGAGTGTAGCATGTCATTTAAATGCCTGCTCCGCACAGTCCGCATGTTGTAGCTGGATTCTGTATTAATTATGGATGTAGGCGCTATGCCGTATTGTCGCCAAACCACATATGGACAAATAAAAGAAAATAAAGTATATTTAAGCCACACCACACCACGCAGCTTCACCAGAACTCAGCATGTTTATTTCTGAGTTTTGGAAAGCAAATAGGCTATGGCCAACACTGAAATATATATTTTTCATATTATTTATGTCCCTCATGCTGGGGATTTCAGCAAACTATTAGCATATTTCAGAAATGACTCCTCTTTCTTTGTGGGTTAAGCAGCTATAATTTTGCTCAGAATAAAGTGCCCTGAGACATGAAAACTGATATGAAATTAACACAAAGTTAGTTCTAAATTAAGAATTCAGCTTCTAATAAAACCACCTAATCAGCCTTAAACCGCCCCGTTACATCTGATATACTATTGGAGCCTTAAAAATATAATTAAAGAAAGAAATCGCTAAAATTGCACGCATGGAATGGACTGTTGGTTGGGCCTATTTAAAATGTTCTTGCCTGGCATGCATTATACACAATATACGTGTGTTGTTCACAAATAAACATATTCAATGTAATGTTGTAAACGTTTATTAATAAAATATACATTCGTCATCATTCTTGAAAAAAAAATCTAAATACACAGTGCATGAGAAGCAAAATAGAGGTCTTTTTTTTACGTCTAAGTGTTAAAACAATGAGATCAGGGGCAGTCATTAGCCTACCAAGGTCGCCAATAATTCTGTTTGAAAATGCAGCACTCAATGACCTTTAAATCTTTAGGTCTGAAGTGTGTGGTTTCTGCCTTTTTGGATTCCTGGCTCCTAAGAGCTGCGTCCAATGACATTCTGTCGCTATCACCAATCTCAGTCCTCTTGGGCATTAAGCAAACTTTTCTCTCTGCAGTTTGTTGAAAGCTGGAATAAGAGACGTCTGTTCTAATGGGAACTTTGTGTGGTCGTCGAAGTGTACTTGGTAGTGTAAAGATCAATGCGGGATCGCTCTCCACGGTACTGAAATCAGGAACTCTATTGTGGTTAAGACCGCTCGTAAGATTTGTCAGCATGATGGAGCGGGAATCTCTGTCTGTGTCCGACGCTCGTAGATAATGACTTACAGTGTTGAGACAACTTCTGTAACCAGCGTGATATTCAGCAGAGTCACAAGCTTTGGACAGTCCTGCATTTAGAGAAATCGATCTTTAGTTCATATTTAGGCCTAGTTATTGTTTACATTTCTAATCATTAATCCAGTATTTCATTAAATTAACCTAATTAAACACATTGATTATTAATATAAATAAAATCTAAAATAATCACAAACCTCTTTTCGTATTTTGCAGATGCCTCAGATGTTTCACAGTGAGCTCCAGAATGTCAGCCTTTTCCAGTTTTCGCTTGCGGATCTGAATAGGTATAAAAACACACAAGTTAGATTTTGAGATAGAGATGTGGTGTTAGAATTTTTGTATTTTTATATCAATATCACTTTATAAAATCCATAAACATTTCTTACATTGTTAGAACAGGCGCTTTCCAGAAGGCTCTTTAATTGATTCAAACATTTATTTATACGCGCCCTTCTTTTTTTCTCCATCAGTGGTTTTGAAACCTGGAAGATAAAATAATTTTCTATTAATTTCAAACACAATAAGCACATGCTGAAAACAAGCAAACAAATAAATCACCTAATCACCTTTTTAACGTTTTGGGGTTTTGCCGTCGCCGCACTGTTGGATGCTGCAGCCATTGTCCTTAAATGCTCAGTGTGTTTAAAAAATCCAGATGAATAAGGACTATCAGACTTCCTTGAGTTGAGTGAAGGAATTCACCCTAGTTCTTTCCTTTTTAAGGAAAGCTCCATTAGCATGTCAATGCACTGCTCACATTATTGGTGCTCAAAAAAGAGCATCCATACTTTCTGCTGGACATCCAATCAGCTTCAGGTTGCTCTCTTGTCTGTTTTTATTCTCAAAAAGGAGCTCAAAAATAATATTGGTCCTGCTATCTTTTACAAACTTTATAAACTCTTATACGCTATGAAAATTAATACATAAAAGTAGACAACACAAAACAAACTAGTTTTGTCACTAATTAGAGATTTTCAGAACTTAAAATATAATAGATTATGCTATCAATACTTTATACAACTATTTTTAATTATATAATTTTCTTTGCTGACTTGTAAACTTAATTGTTATTACATGTATTAATACTTAGATAAAATTAAACTGGCGCTGGCTTGAAACCTCGTCGTGTGGGGTGAAAATGCAAAGAGTTCAGTAAAAAACCGTAAAGTGGAAAATGTTACAAATAACTAGTCAAGCTGTGAAGGAATTAGCTGTGACTATTCATCCCATTCTCTTCAGGTTTCACGCCATGTGGGACAGGCAGCACCGTGGAAATCTTTTCCGTGTCTTCACAACGCGGCAATTTTCTGCCAATAATGAAAAGGAATCACCTTTACTGAATTAAAATGTCAAGATTCTTTAAACCACAGCAACATTTTCTAAAACTGCCTAAACACTTTAGGAATCGCTGGCCGTGTGTAGAATACAGACTGTCGTGCTACAAGCAAAACTCTACAAGTTTAAGCTTGATAACATATAGATGGTCTCAAAGAGAAGCAGAATTCTCACAGATGCTCCCTTGAAAGAGCAGAGCGAGGAGAATCAGAGGAACGCCTCCTGTCCCAGGACCCTATCTGCCTGATTTTCCACACTTTCCCATCAATAGAGTCTGCCTTGGGAATGTCATACAGGTTTTTGCCAAAAATGAAGTTTCTTTTTAAGTGAATTCCCTCCAGCCTAGTCTTCGCTGACAAGCACATATTTCACATAAGTTTCACATATTTTTCCACAAATAACTAATAGGTAGCCTAACTACTTAACTAACTGACTGGCTGACTAACTAAACAGCCAACCGTCCAATCAAATAAAAACGCAAACAAATAGCGGAACCCAGGGGCAATTTTATTTTAATTAAAAATAAATATTACTTAAAACTAGTCATTTTTTACACAAGATACGAATAGGTAAATCAATTGATAACACAATACAATTGATTATTTTTTATAAAAAAATATAAATCTTTAGTTTTAAATTAGGTAAAGTAGTGTTACAATGTTTCGGGACACCGATTTTTTACATTAGCTTACTGCATTACTGCTGTAGTAGCCTATCAAAAATGGTAACTGAAAATGCATTTGTATATTGCGCAAAAAAATTTAGATGTCAGACCTCATGCATTTAAAAAGCTCAAGTCAATGTCTTTCTTTTTTATCTTCCAAAAAATAGCCAGGTGTGCAGTGGCTATAAGATTAACATAATAAACGAACTAAGTCACTAAATAAATGATCTGATATTCGGGATCAGTTTAAAACAGTTTAACTAAACGGTGCAGGTTAGCCATTTTAAAAGAGTAACCCATATGAGATGATGTGGAAATCCGTTGTATTTAAAATATATCTATTTCTCATTGCTCATGATTGATGACGAGTTCAAAAGCTAACCGTGATTTCCTTTCAATAGTTAAATTTTTAATTCCACAAGTTGGAATTTTCAGTTCCGCTATTGTCAAGCAAAAAAAATTTGAAAATAATATTGTAGCAATATATATTATTATTTTAATATGTTTTATATATTATTTATTTATTTTTTATTTATCTATTTTTATTTTTTGTTGTTGTTGTTGTTGTTGCTAAAACAAACTCGTTTTTCAACATGACAATGCCCTGCTGCACATGCGTAGTAAGAAATGACTTCAAAAGCATGACACGCGACAGGATGAATGAATGTCCATTGATTCCTTTAAGACTTTTTTTTCGTCTTTCAATACTTTTTTTTCAGTTGAGACGGCCTTACCATACAATAGTGTATTTATTGAGAGGGAACAAATGACGTGAGACCGGGATGGAATCACATTACCATTTTAGCAGCTCCGGTCAAGAGCCTTTAGAAAGCAATGAAAAACTGCAGTTTATATAGGCTATGTATTGAGAAGCGATTGATCTTTCAGGTCTATTGTATATCTTCTGAAATGAGTTCTTTTCTAAATAAATCCGTCCTATTACGACAATATTCCATCAAACTTTGCAAACAATATTTGCTAATGGCAAAATCAGGACAGTTGTACTAAAAACTTTAGTATTTATTTGAAAACAATGAAGAAGCCTGTTGACGACTTTCTGTCGTTCTCTATTTTCAATTAACCTTTTAAGGTTTTGGGCCGAACTTAAGAAAACTTTCTCGGCTGCTAACAAACTAAAAGACAGGTTAGCCATGCATGTCGTACATGCATCTCGAGAATTGTTTGTAATGGGCAAAACATTGGTTAAAAACGCTGCCGTGTTTCTCTTTTCACAGCGTAACATTAGAAAATCAGTATGAAATCGGAGCAAATCAGCTTTCTTTTGTGACACTGATTTACACGTCTTCACGCTCAGTGGCACCCTGGTTAACAGTTTGATTTCATCAGAAAATCTTTAGTCATTTGCGCAAAAGTTTTTCTAACCAACAAACTAACTGAATGAATGAACGAATGAATGAATGAATGAATAAAAGAGTAAATGGATAAATAAATAAATAAATAAATAATGCACACACACAATATGTAGATGGAATATCACTTTATTTAGAAAGGTTTTCTGACGGGAACAAATTGTCTTCGAGTTTGGCATAACAACAGACTGCGATAAAAGCGCATGTTTATCAAAAGCGTGGAAGTGCTGTCATTATTCTCCATCTGTAACTGATTAACCCTAACTGCCTTTTATCATGCACGCTTAGTTAGGAGATCCCGTAGTGACTGAAGCATTCTATGGCTTGTTAACAACAATTAGTGAAGCAATTATACAATTACTGCAATAAACGTTCCTTTTCCAAAGGGCTTCCATTCATTTTTAGCATGTAAATGCAAAGAATTGCGGTAAAAGAGAATCAGCCGATGTTCTTGAGCTCAGAATGACAGTTACCAGGAGTATAAGCAAGTCAAACAAATAATCAACACACGTTTAATTGTCAGCACAACTGAAAGACTTGAATGGCATAAGGTCATTGCAATCTTTCGAACGACAATGAGGCAAACAAATAATGTAGTGATTATAATAGTGCTTTGTTTCTTATTCATCCTGTAAAATTGCTTTAGTGTTGTTATTTACAGTTGCCATTTACTTATGTGCTGGCAGATAACTAATAAAAGACGCAAGGCACCCTTTTTCCCAAAAAACTAAAACTTTGCCGATTATTGTAATAACACATTTCCCCCCATAAATTTAAACAAGATCTTACGAATGTGTTTGGTGTCATGAAGACGACAAACCACGAACTGTAAGTCTATGTTATAACAAATCAACACCAAGCGAAAATACTTTTCTGGCCCAACAGTCACGAATTCCTATTTGAGAAGTCTTGCTTGACTTAGGCTTGCAGAAAAAACATAATAGCACATTATCATTACATTTAAGTATTCTGCTTGGGTATTTGGCTGAAATAAATTAGTGAATAGTAACTTGAAACCCAGCGAAGGATGTAAGCTTTGAAGAGCCATCCAGTCCGAAACGAAAGACAAAAGACCTCTCGCATTGTTAAGCACCAAATCGTGTCTATTGAAGCTCTTTGAGTTGCAAAGTATCTGCAAAGAATAAGCAACAAATTTGTATAAGAACTGAAGACTCGTGGATACAGTTTTAGTTCAAACGAGGCATGAATCTTTAATTACTGCGGTGAAGAAAATCCTTATTATTTGTCACAAAAAAGATTTTTATTGCGTTATGAAATAATTTAATTTCAGCTTTGTTATTATTTTTCTTTGAACATATTCATCACTTTTATCACACTTCACTATCTATCTATCTATCTATCTATCTATCTATCTATCTATCTATCTATCTATCTATCTATCTATCTATCTATCTATCTATCTATCTATCTATCTATCTATCTATCTATCTATCTATCATCTTTTTATACGGATTTAAGCAAATTAGCATATTCTTTTAAAAAGGCACATTAAATAATGCCATATTCTTTTAAAATATGTTACATTTGCAAAAAGAAAAAAACTATTAACGTGTAAAATGTTATTTAATCTTTTACTATTTATTTTTAAGTCGTCTTGAGATTCTCAAGTTGAGAAGTGAGGAACTGACATTGAAACCAAAAGCCTAAAAATAATTCGCAGAACACCATAACATATATCTATAAGCGTTTTTGTTGATGCGAAAAATAAAATGGAGAAAAGGATATGGTAGCTGGGATTCCAATCATGTTTATAAAAAAATAAAATAATAATAATGCATGATTATAAAAAAATTTATAAATATAAACATTTTTAATTCAAACGAGGCATGAATTTTTAATAACTGGGGTAAAGAAAATCCTTATTATTTGTCACAAGAAAAGGTTATTCCATTGCATTGTGAAATAAATATTGAATATAACTGATTTAAGCTATTTAGCTGATTCTTTTTTAAAAAGTGTATAGTATTAAATAATGTCGTATTTTAAAATGTTTTAAATTTCCAGAACAAAAAAAAAACACTTGAAATTATTATTTAATCTTTTACTATTTATTTAGACATTTTATTTACTTGTTGTGGTAGTAGTGTTTAAAGCATTAATACGTCAGTGAGTCGCGTGGGTGGCATTAGTTTTTCTTCCAGAGAAAATCAGTATGAAATCTGCAATTTGTTGGTGTCAGCGTTCGGTTAGATGGCAGCACCATATGTTTCGCTGCGACGTACTATTCGTCTCTGGTTTCACGGTTCATCCTCCAGTTCCGCACAGCAGAGGTCTCAATGAGCTAACAAAATAGCAATTTACCTCTCTAATAAGCATATCGTCATGGTGGCTGGTATCCCACTGCGGTCTTTACCGGTCGTCTTCAGTGTTCTACATTTGAAAACTGCACCATTTATTCATGCAACAAACTACATTTTAAATGATCCCTTTTTCCCTTCTTCTACGTCTTAAAAGTGTATTGTTATTAAAAGTGTATTGTTAATATATATATATATATATATATATATATATATATATATATATATATATTGTTATCTCAAAGTTAAAAGCAGCACGACTTGCTGTGTCGTTGTCCGAGGTACTGAAACCAGGTAGAATAAGCTAGTATTTCCAGAGCTTAAAAACTTTTAATCAAATATACCGTGCTTATTAGATATATTTGGCTTAGTTGGTTTATCGGTTCATCAGGTGATACCGACACGTGTACTTTGAGTCCTTAGAATTTTTTTCCCCACGACTAGTTTAGGTGTAATTATTAAAAGACGCGTTTTCAATCTTCTTCTACTTATTGAAAACGCCGTAGAACTGATTTGCTCATTAAAAAAAGTATTGACACACTAAAAAACCCCAGTTGCCTTATTTTTTTAAAGCTGAATCAAATTAACCTTATGACTTCACTGAACGCATGCTAAACTGACTTTAAACATCTTGAATAACTTACACAATTAAGTTAGAACATGATTAACACAGTTTAATGCGTTACATACCTGAAACCAACACAAAACATATGCTGTCAGGAATGGCCGTAGGCTACGGTTATGTGCACAGTATTCTATGAGTGATTAGTAGAATCTAAAAAGTTATACATTTTTGTACTTTAAGTTTGGACATATTGTCTATAAAAAGAAGGGAATAATACGAAATACACAGATGCTTCCTTTGAAAAAAAGCAAAGCGAGGAGAATCAGTGGAACGCCTTCTTTCTAGGGCCCTATCCGCCTGATTTTCCACACTTCCTCGACAATAGAGCTGGTCCTTGGGAAAACCTTTGACGTTAGTGTATCTTACCCTATGAGTAACACGTATAAGTGCTCTGATTTCTACTTTCACATTTTCATAGCTCAGCTATTTATGCTAATGAAAACGTCAAGTAAATTCAAACTGAGTAGCAAAACCTAACATGCATTTATCTCACTGGGTCTAAAAATCTTTTATTGAAAAAGGTTCACTTTAAAATCAAGAGCAGTAGCCTAGATCTTTGATAGCCTATAGGTTGTACAATTTTCGTTGCTGAAAGGGAATTAGAGGGAAATGAGGGAAAAGATTGTGATGTTGACTTCAGACGCAAGCCACGCGACAGTATGAATGGCAATAGATCCCAGATAGCATACAGTTCTGGGCCACATCTGGGCCAACTAAGGCACATATGGCTCACTTCTGGCAATGGCAGGAGACATATGGGCCACATCTGGCCCATATGTGTCACACCGGGTGTAGTGTGAGTTGTGGCCTGCTGTATGTGGGCCAGATGTGGCCCGTGTGTGACACCCCTGGTGTAGTGTGAGTTGTGGCCTGCTGTATGTGGGCCAGATGTGGCCCGTGTTTGACACACCGGGTGTAGTGTGAGTTGTGGCCTGCTGTATGTGGGCCAGATGTGGCCCGTGTGTGACACACCGGGTGTAGTGTGAGTTGTGGCCTGCCGTATGTGGGCCAGATGTGGCCCGTGTGTGACACCCTGGGTGTAGTGTGAGTTCTGGCCTGCTGTATGTGGGCCAGATGTGGCCCGTGTGTGACACCCCGGGTGTAGTGTGAGTTCTGGCCTGCTGTATGTGGGCCAGATGAGGCCCGTGTGTGACACCCCGGGTGTAGTGTGAGTTCTGGCCTGCTGTATGTGGGCCAGATGTGGCCCGTGTGTGACACCCCGGGTGTAGTGTGAGTTCTGGCCTGCTGTATGTGGGCCAGATGAGGCCCGTGTGTGACACCCCGGGTGTAGTGTGAGTTGTGGCCTGCTGTATGTGGGCCAGATGTGGTCCACGTTTGTCACCCCGGGTGTAGTGTGAGTTCTGGCCTGCCGTATGTGGGCCAGATGTGGCCCGTCTGTGACACCCCGGGTGTAGTGGAAGTTGTGGCCTACCGTATGTGGGCCAGATATGGCCGTGTGTGACACACCGGGTGTAGTGTGAGTTCTGGCCTACCGTATGTGGGCCAGATATGGCCCGTGTGTGACACACCGGGTGTAGTGTGAGTTGTGGCCTGCTGTATGTGGGCCAGATGTGGCCCGTGTGTGACACATCGAGTGTAGTGCGAGTAGTGTATTTTTAGTTCCGGTTTAACTATAAATGAACGGAAGCCTTTGAAGTGGTTACAAATTATTAGAAATTGAAAATCAAAGTTAATTTGTCTTTCTAAAGCAGGTCGCACACCAGAAGCGACGCTCGGCGGCGCGCCGCGCAGCGCCACGCAGCGCCATGTATTTTAGAATTCTAAACATAGGTTTCTATCAGGATACACACACCGGCGCCGCAAGTCGGCGGCTGTCGGCGGCGCCCGGCGACGGCTCAGGACGCAGTTCATTTTTCAGCCGCGCCACCTGATTAGTTTCATGTTAAATATCATTCGAATGTGCGCGTCTGGTGTGCGATACTTTAATCTGTCATGTACGCGCCGTGTCGCGGCGCCGAGCGGCGCTTCTGGTGTGCGACCTGCTTAAGTCTGTACACTTTCGTTTTATGAAGTAGAAAATAGAAAATAAATATTGTAAATTAATGTAATGTGATGCAAGGATTTACATTTTTCCGATCGGCTACTTCTGCCTGTGGACTGCATACCTAATAAGTGGGAGGGGCTTGCTGCTCAAACATTACACAGACTCTGATGTGAAGCAGCAGCAGTTCTGTGTTTCCTGTGTTTTATTAACATTATTGTCCCTCATCAGGCAGTGAGAGCGCTACACCTTCTCTGAAAATAATAACATTGCATGTTCTAAATAAGACTTTCTGAGATTGAAAATTATTCTTTAGGTTATTAAGAATAGGAATAAGCTATTGCTTATCCGGGAAAGTATATGTTTGTAACCTTATCACATATTAATTCAGTTTATTTCCTCAATAATGGATTTATTTTTACTTTAAGGCTGCTATGAATATAAATTTATATTATCTGTTATATGTAAATGTTCCAGCATGAGTAAAATTATTTTTTTTTCATATTACCTGGTATGTCTATAAATGTCTATAAATGCAATGAGTTTCATCATTTATTATGTTTTGATCCATTAATGTTTTGTTCAGTTTTTCCATTTGAATGAATTCAGACAGTGTCCTACCGCCACCTACTGGGTGGATTTAATTTGCTATTAATACTACTTTTTAATGAACAATTTTACAAATGAATTCATAATCTAATAATGCTGAATTAAAGTGCTGTTTTCTTGGTGTTATTTTTTGCAATTCTACATTTTTACAATGATTTTGTTTGATTAAATGCCACATACAACATTGTTATTTTTTATTTAATTTGAATATTAAATAGACAAATGTTTTGTTTATGAATAAAATAACTATATAGTAAAAAAATGTAAGAGAACTGAGCAGTAGAATGTAAATAACATGAATGTGTTCGTGAATAAGCTGATCTTTGTAAACAACACAAAGTTTTATTTACTTATTCTACAGAACACATAAAATAATAAAAAATAAATCTGACCAATTTTAATGCGCACACCTAACCCCGCTCCTAACCCTACCCCTCACTTTGATGTCACTAGCTCTATTTGAGTGCATTGTTTCTGACATTGCATGTCAAACTGTATGTCTCAGCTTGCATATCCAAGTCTGCAATCAGATACTAATGCTTCTGCAACACAGCCCTGAGGGTACAATCCTCAGTGCTGGGAAACACCACACATTATCTTAATCACAAACTACAGCAAATTTAGTTTATCCAAAATTCACTTATACTGCCCAAAAGTCTATCCTGGTTCTGTGTGTGTGCACCTGTAACAGTGTCAACAAATTTTATAGACAATATGCTATTAATAAGCATGTTAATTAGCAATTAGTTAATTGTAAATATATCTTAAAGTGTTATAGTTTTTATATAACAAGCTACTGAAAATTAAAAATAACAGTAAATATTCTAGAATTACAGCATGTTACATAACAGAGCAAGGACATGTTCACAGTATGTCTGATATTTTTTTTCTTCTGGAGAAAGTCTTCTATTTTTTTTAAAGTGTTTTAAGGTCAAAATTATTAACCCCTTTAAGCTATATATTTTTTCTACAGTTTCAGAACAAATCATTGTTATAAAATAACTTGCCTAATTACCCTTACCCTAATATATATAATTACCCTTACCCTAATATATATAATATTATTTAAATATATATATATATATATATATATATATATATATATTTATATATATTTATTCATTTATTTATTTATTTATTTATTTATTTAAAAACATAATCATAAAACTGCACCCTGGTGGCGAATACTGTATGTGTTTCGCTTCATCCTTGCATTACGGTGGAGTGGGCGGAGCCTCGTGAATGACGGTTATTTTTTTCAAACGAGGAAGTCAAGTCAAGTCCGCCATTTCATCTTCTTTATATCGGGTAAGTTATTATTTTAAAATCATATTTGTGAGATATTTGTCGTCAGGTAATGTTTTTATTTGTTAGAAAAGCCCCTGTTTTGTATAGTGATAAAACTGTAACTTATACTTGGATAATATGGCTAAAAACGGCTAAGAATGATGGCAGCCGTCAGTTCAGTAACGTTAATCTGTTAACGTTAAGTTGATTGTGCTCGGGGTTTTAACAAATTCATTTAAGTTACAATTGAAATGATCAATAAGACGTGTTATATGAAGAACAGCGTCGAAACGGGAGCTTGAATGAATGAATCATATGCTGTCCGTTTTATACAGTTGTTATAGGTGCCGAGTTCTGCTTTTGTACTGGTTTTAGCTCAAACACTGAACGAACAGTCTCTTTTTGGTAATGTTAATCCTAACGATCTTGATTTGCTTGTTAATGTGTGTTTTATCAAGTTTCAGCAAAAGTTTGCAGAGTAACGTTATGTGGTTCATGCTGGCCACTGTTGAGACTGGTCTGCATTAAACATTTTTTAAAGCTAAAACGTTTGAAAAAAAATCCACAGTTGAAACATGATGTGTTAAATGACTTATGAAGGAAATTAATTAGCTAAAAAGAAGGCTAAGTGGGTTATGAAATATTAAACCTTGTTAAAAAATAAAATCAATTGTGTTAAATAAGCTTAAAATCCATATCTTATGTTTTATATTACTTCAAAACAGCCTGGAAACTGAATTGCACCATTAATCTTGTACATATGTATCAAGTCCAAACAAATGGTTTTGTGGCAAGTAAAAATAATATTTTTATAAATTGATTGTATTGTATTAATTTGTTACAGAAAAGAAAGGAATCATGCAAGGATGCAAGCTGAAGGAAAGGACAACTCTCACATCAGTGCATTACTAATTGTTTGACTTCATCATCAAGCACACCAGGTACAATATTGTACATATTTTGTAACTTGTATATGTCAGACTGGTTGTTGGGAACTGAAATAATATATTTTATGTTTTATTTATTATTAAAATAGTACAAGATTTATTGCTGCTATTTTATCACTGTGTGAGGTCATAGCTTATTTAAAAAATCTAATAATGACATAATAATGACATCTTTTATCCTCCACTTGTTTCAAAATATTTTTTTTGTTCTGTTGAACATAAACTCAGGTGGTGCGGTGCACAGTGGATAGCTCTGTTGCCTCCCAGCAAAAATGTTTCTGGTTCGAGCATCGGCTGGGTCAGTTGGCATTTCTGTGTGAAGTTTGTATGTTCTCCACGTGTTGGCGTAGGTCTCCTCCGGGTGCTCCGGTTTCCCCCACAAGACATGCGGTACAGATGAATTGGGTTAGCTTAATTGTCCATAGTGAATGTGTGTAAATGAGAGTGTATGGGTTTTTCCTAGTGATGTGTTGCAGCTGGAAGAGTATCTGCTGCGTAAAACATATGCTGGATAAGTTATCTGTTCATTCCACTGTGGTGACCCCAGATTAATAAAGGGATAACGCTGAAAAGAAAATGAATGAACACAAACCCAGTTTTTCCTCATATGTATATCAATAGTTACAGGTTTCTAACATTCTTTAAAATATCTGCTTTAGTGTTTAACAGATTCAAATTGCTTTGAAACAAGTAGAGGATGAATAAGTGGTGGCAGAATAGTAAACTATATCTTTAAATGTTTTATTCTGTATGTTATGTGTATTCATATTTGTCTTGTCTTTTGTCATATTGTCCTTCTAGCTCAGATTGTGATGGACCTGGAATGCGACACCAGTTACTCTTAAGTCAAGAACCAAATGAAGCACCAGAGTACAGATTATAGAGGTATCTGAAGTTGAACTAACTGGAAGCAGGGAACCATACTAATAAAGTTTCTTTAGGTAAAAGCACATGCTTTATTTTGATAGAAAGTATTTTTTTATAGAGTTCTATTGTTTTATTCTTATTCTAATTTTATTTTATTCATATACTGAATGGAAGTCATTCAAATTTCACAACAAATGATTTGCAGATTGAATATAAAATATAATGACATTTTAATGCATTATTTCTTTTGGTTATTCTTTACATCTATATATGGGCAAGTATTTAATCAATGAAAATAATTTTAAACAACTTAACTAAACAAATTACTTTGTTGGACCCTAATATTTAAAATAGCAAAATCCTCAAACTAACACACACTCTTGTGAATGCATTCTCACATTCATACACTCAAAAACACACATTCATACAACAGTCTGTCTCAGTCTGACTCACACACAACATCCTCTCTCACAGGTTTTTCTAGCAAACCTCCACCACAAGCTTGTCCTGTTACGCTGCCTCTATTTCAAACATTTAAGAGCATGATATAGTCCAGGTTTTTATCACTAAGTATTTTTTTCTCCATTCAGCAGGTTCCTTGTAAAGATTAACCCTGGGAAGGATCGAAAGTGGAGAAGACCAGATCAAGAAAGACCACATCAAGATCTGCGGTCAGTTCAAAGGTACTTTCACTAATTACCAAGATTTCAGACTATGAATTGATGGAGAAAACTTTGAGTGTCAGATCTTCCTACATCGCCTAGCAAAAATTCTTCCTAGTGTCTTGTAGTAGAAGTGATGCTGTCAATCAAGTTTACATTATTTCGTAAATTGCTTTCCGATTTAATAAAAATATATTAACCAAACTTGATTAATGTAACAATTTTGATGAAAAGGGCATGTTTTACTAGAGCTTTAAGCACAAAGGCACCCCCATCTTGGAATATTGCTGTGTCTGACGTCACGGGGTTGGTATGCTGGAAACGTTTTTGAATGAGGTATTTGTATTATTTATACATACAGTAGTCTGTCTTAAAGCGTCACTAAATTGTACAGGCATTACAGGTCAAAGCAATCAGTTGTTATATTTATCAAAATAAACAATAAGGCTCTTAAAACACTGCTTTGAAAAATGTAGAAAATGTAAAAAAAAAAAATTAAATACCTTAACTGAAATGAAGTCATTTGTTTTATTATTTTTAAAATATATATTTTTATAAAGTCATTTGTTTATAATTATGTAAAAAAAAATCCATGTACTATAAAAGTTATTTAAGCAACAAATTTGCCAGATTGTAAAGGCAGACACAGAATGAGCAAACAAGAAAAAACGTGTAAAATGTGTAAATAAAAGGCTACATTTTAAATTTTTACATCTTTTCATCATATTCGTAAAACCTTCCTAAGCTTGAAAATATATTTCCTTAAAATAAACTTCCTTTGTTAGTGCAAATTCCTTTTTAATTAAATTCCTTGTAATTAAACAATTAAACCATTCAAACAAGTTTACACTTAAAAAAGGTCCGTAATGAAAATCAGATTTTCAAACTAAAATAGTGCCATGTACTTTTACTCTGTATTAGTATTATTTACTAAAATTAGTTTTATTTTAGCAATATAATAATATTTCTAGTCCTTTAATTTAATGTGATTTAATTTTCAGTTCTCTTTCCATCTACGAAAACATAAAAAAATTAATAATTTCACAAGCACATTTAAAATAGGTTTAATACTATGAAATATTATATTAATATTATTTTTATTTTTCATAAATCGATAGGTAGTTCCTATGGAATGTTTTTATGTATTGCTGAGAATACGTTTCAGGTGTTCAATACGTTGCTTGTCAGTCTTAAAAATAAAAATAGGTGCTTAAAAAAGTGCTTAAAAGTTCTTAATTTTAATCGAGTTGTGCCTGTATGTACTCTGCAAACAGCACCTTTTAATTGTTGTCTTGTCCTATTTTCAGGATGTTTTGCATTGGACAGTTTTTTTTGGATTTGACCCTTGCTCGACCCTGACCTCACTCTTGGACTGCCCTGTTGGATTTTCAGTTTATTTTATTTATTTATTTATTTATTTTTTGGTTTTGGGTAGATGCTAATAAATATTTAGTTGTAATTATTTAAATAATATGTTTTTGTTAAATATGCGATTTCTGTGTTTGTTCTGTCTACTCGTACTTGTTTATCTTGTTTCTGTAATTATCATTTGTTTATTTGACCCTTGCCTCGCCTCTGATCTTGTTTTTGGATTGCCCTTTATATATATTTTTAATTATTGGTTCTGGTTATATTGTTATAAAATATTTGTTAATTTAATTAATATGCATTTTATAAAAAAATATATTTTTTCTGTGTTTAATCTGTATCTATTTATCTAATTTGTATGTACATTTGTGTTTGTATGTTCTTCTTATTCTGTATATCCACTTACCTAATTTTAACTTTTATATATATTTATTTGCATTTAATTTGTGATAATTCTGTATGCATTTATTTATCTAATTCATATATTTATTTGTATTGATCAATCTGTTGTTGTTTTTTTTGTATGCATCTATTTATATAATTTATATAAATTATATATTTGTATTTATCAATTTATGTGCTTCCTTTAAAGCAATTTTTTTAAATAAAGCAATTTAAAGTAAGCATTCCTTTTAATGTGATTTATATAGCTACCAAATGTAGATGTGAGCCACATCTAACCCAAAAGTCAGCCGCAACTGAACCAGATCTGGGCCAGATCTGTGAAATTGCATGGGCCGCATCTGGGCCAGATCTGAGAAACTGCATGGGCTGCATGTGGGCCAGATCTGAGAAAGTGCATGGGCCGCAGCTGGGCCAGATTTGAGAATGTGCATGGGCCGCAGCTGGGCCAGATCTAAAAAAATGTATGGGCCACATCTGGCCCAGATATGGACCATGCTTTTTCTGAGATATGGCCCAGATCTGGTTCAGTTGTGGCTGACTTTTGGATCCTTATGTCAGCCACAATCAGGTTGAGTCATCGCCGTCATTCCGCGCGGTATGTGGGCCAGATGAAAATGGGGGATGTGGGCCATATCTGGGCCAGATGTAATTTGCTATCTGGGATAGCTTAGGACTCTCTTTTTATAGTCCACAATGTACAAAAGACGTATTTATAACTTCAGGGCGCAAACATGAATATACAACCATTGCCTCTCATTACCATTTCAATGAGCTCGAACTCAAATGTTTTGCTGTACTTACTGTACTTTTCAGACAAAATGTAGGCTAAATATAAACAACATTATTTAATCTTATTAACACCAAATGCGTTTTTGAAGCCTTTGCCTGTACTTAAAATATATGTTTGATATTGTTATAACTACACAGGCAATGACTTAACCCTCAGACTAAATTGCGTGTAATATGCCGCATAATTGTTTCAAAACGCTGAAATGCTGTCTTACAAAGTAGCGCGAAATCAGTATGAAATTGGAGCACAGCAGTTGGGTGCATGGTGGATGCTTCCACTCCATTGTGCCTCGTCGATGCTGTTTATCACGCTATTTTCACGCTTAAATTCAACACGATGCACCACATTAGCCGTCTAAATTAGTCACCACAGAGAAAAAATAATAAAAAAAACATTTTATATGCATTAAACTGAATATAGAGATAGGCTACACAACCCATAAAACTTTAAGTAAAAAATAACTAGCCTAAACAAATAAGCGGTAATTTTTGATATGCGCTTTACACCCTTTTGTCTATATATATATATATAATTGAAATGTAATAGGCCTATGTGTTTAGTAAAGAGATCCTGGAGGTTGTCAGTAAGTGTTAGAAATCAGTAAAAAAAAAAAAAAAGAAATAATAATGAAACTTACACTGTTTGCATGGTGTGTCAAAAAGGATTAAAAAATGAAAAACAGCAGCACTTTACAAAAAAGGCCAAGGATACACACACTAAAATTAAAATGATAATATAAACAAAGCAATCGGCCCAGATAGGTTAATATGACATTTCTTTATGGTAAAATAAACAAGTAAACATATTATTTTAACTTTAAATATGAAATAGCAATATTTAAATATGGACAGTCTTTATGCACCTTATGTAAATTACTTCTTTTTAAGTTGAAATATCATATACTGAAGAAAAAAAACCCGACTGTGTGTCTTGAGAATCATCACTGAGTGTCAACGGAACGGGTCAACCAAGAGCGAAACAAATCGGAGAACCGCCTCTACCATTCAGAGGTATAAAAAGACAAGAAAAAACGAACTAAATGAAACAAATGGCTTCCCGCGAAATTAAACTAAACAACCAGCCAACTAGATATCTGCTATATTTAATAACGCAAATCAAAAACTAAACATATTTAATTTAGATCACTGCAAAATGCCACGCGTCGACCCTGTTTGCATTGGGCTGATCAAACATGTTCTGTAATGAATTTCTATAGACTAGACTACAGGTTATTCAGAAGGCTTTGGTTCAGTTGCACAATGCCTTCTGTTTGGTTGTGGAGGCTGAGATCTCGATCTCAAAGGAGAAGAAAAGAACATTAACATTGCTTTGGGTTTTCTCAAGGGCTGAAATGAACTAGCGGAAAGTAACTTTAAAACTCCATGAAGGATGAACCCTTTGTAAAGCTTTTCAATGAGAAACACAAGGGCTTAACAATAGACGAGCCCTCTCATTGTAAAACACTAAATCCTGTCTATGGATGCGCCTTGAATTGCAAAACATCTGCCATTTACTCGTCAGAACTTGAGGCACATTTGTATAAGAATATAAGGCCTTGAGTACACAGCTTTCGATTAAACGCAAAATGAGCTATTTTTCAAATATTTTTTCTATGGCTTGCACGAACAAACAATTTCATCATGTTCTTACTTTCTACATGGATCTTTGAAAATCCACAAACACCGCGTCTTTCTCAAAAGACTTATTATAGCCTATATTTTCGGCGGTTATTTTTCAGTCATCTTGACATTCTGAAGTTGAGAAGTGAAGAACTGTACATTGAAAAGAAATAAGCATTAAATTATTCGTAAAACACCATATAACGATGATGGGAAAAAT